GTTTCGAAGGAGTGAAGTTGTGAAGGGGTTGGGTGTTTTCAGGCTTGGAGTCTGTGGTTTAGGGGTTTAAGGCTTGTGCATGGTTTAGGGTGTGGGGTGCAGGGATGGGAAGGACTTCGACCCCGCATATGGTATGGTTGATCGTACTTTATGGTACAGTAAAATTTATAGCATACTTTGTGGTATCGTATTCAAGAACATGTACTAGTCTTGAGACATCAACATAACCCTAAACCCTTACCCCTAAACCCTAACCCCTACACCCTAAAACCTCTAAACCCGAAGGACTTCGACACCACCTTGGTACATGAAGCACTGGACCAGAGCCCCGGCTTTGGCATCGTGACCATCGACGGCGCCGAGGCCTCCCTTCGGGTTGCGGGTTCACGGCTTAGGGTTTAGGGCAGTTTAGGGCAGTTTACGGCTTGGGGCTTAGACATGAGGGTTCAGGGCTTAGGGCTTTAGTAATTTAGGGTTCAGGGCTCTAGGGTTTAAGGTCCAGGCTTTGGGGTTTAGGGTTGTGTTGATGTCTCAAGACTAATGCATGTTCTTGACAGCAACACCAGAAAGTAGACTATACCCGGTAGTAATGTTCCTTTAAGGAACCCTACTTGGAGGATCATGGGACTTAGTAAGTAAGGTTATAAGTACCCGAAATGGGGATATAAGTAGTTATAAGTACAGTTACCTTAATGGTAACCCTAGTTACTAAGTCTCATGATCCTTCAAGTAAACCTTCCTTTATATGGATGGGACCGAGGCCTCCCTTGGTACCGCGACCTTCGGTCCCGGCCCCGGCCGCACCTCCGTCGCCGTGACTGCGGTGGCGCACCTCCGCGCCCACATCAAGAGCCGCACTCGCCGAGGCTCGGAACCCACCCAAAGGCTCCATGTACCAAGCAGGGTTCCTTTAAGGGCTCCTTTTGGGGATCCTAGGGTTCCTATAAGGGCTCTAGAAGGGTACCATAAGGGTTTAGGATCGAGGGTTTAAGGCTCCATGTACGTTTATAGCAGATGCTTAGGCCGTAAAGTGGTCCCTATATAGGTACTTTAAGGCCTAAGTATATACTATATGGGTACAAGGAGCCTTAGGGATAGAGAAAAGTCCTTGAACTCCCTTGAAACGAAAGCCCTCAAATCCCTTAAGAACCCTTAAACCAGCCTTCAAAACCCCCCAAGCTTCTTCAAGACCTCCAAAACCCTACCAAGACAAGCCCCATGCGCAAAACCCTAAACCCTAAACCCCCGAAGCCCTAAACCCTAAACCCCCTAAACCCTAAACCCCGAAACCCTAAGCTGCAGGTGGCCAGTCCGCCCCGCGCTTTGGGAGAACCCGGGACGCCGAGGAGTTGGAGTTCCTCCAGGAGCTGTGGGGGGTTCTGGGCTCCTATAAGGATTCTTGAAGGCTTCCTTTAAGGACCCTTTCAAGGGCTCCCTTAAGAGGGTTCCTTGAAGGGCTCAATTTAAGGGTTCCTTTCAGGGCTCCTTCAAGGGATCTACAAGGGTTTATAAGGGTCCTTTAAGGGCTCCTTTAAGGGATCTAAAGGGTTTCTGCAATTTGGCTCCTTTAAGATGTGTTTAGAGTTTATGGGTTTGGGTTTATGTGTTTAGGGTTCAGGGGTTAAGGGTTCAGGGGTTAAGGGTTTAGGGGTTTAGGGTTTATGTGTTTAGAGTTTTGGGGTTCAGGGTTTGTGGGCTCAGGGTGACAGCCATCCCTGTCGACAGGCTTTTTGTTTGGTGTTACTTGGAGGATCATGGGACTTGCTAAGTGTGGTTATATGTACCTTAAGTGGGGATATAAGTGATTATAAGTGTAGTTACCTTAATTATAGCCCGAGTTACGATCCTCCAAGTAATGTTGATGGTGTCAGCGGAGGTCGTCGTCGTCGCAGCAGCAGCAGCGGTGGTGGTAGTGGTGGTGGTCACGGTGGTGGCGGTGGTGGCAATAGTGAATAGTATTGGATGGTAGAGTGATGCTAGCAGGTCACACTCATCATCGCCATCCATCATCGCTTCCGCCAGCATCAACAGCTTGGCAATCATGACCTACTTCGGTGCCACCTGTGTCGTCATCATTATCAACAATCCCATTGCCATAATGATGATAATCAAAACAGCTATCATCATCCTTGGCATAGCAGCTAGCGACGTGTTTGAGTATCAGATGCGTACAGTGTCTCCAGAGTCGTCACTCTGATATCCTTGAAGCCTGACTAAATTTTGAAAAACCCTAAACCCCAAACCCTTCAAGCCCTGAAACCCTAAAGTCCTAAATCGCTGTGCCCTCCCTGTTTCCTTGCAGGAGGTGGTGGAACGCGTGCAAGCCCAGCTGGGCGGGGTTGAGCACTTCATCCTCGGGGGCAAGGTGGACAGCAAACGCTAAACTCTGAAGGGTTGTAGGGTTTGGGGCTTCGCCTAAACCCGAAACTTCGCCCTAAAGCCTAAACCGTGGATTCCGGGGTTGAAAGGTTGCAGGTTGAGGCAGGTTGAGGGTTTAGGGTTTTTGGGATTGGGTTCTACCAGGGCTTGTGGGTTCTAGGAATCGCTCTGTAGGCTGTCGTTTGGGCTTTATAGGGCCTTGTATGGGCCTGCTGCGTTCCCTAAGGGCTGCTGCAACAAATTTTGCATTACCCATAGTTAGCAATAAGTAATATGCAATAATTCCCCAAAAAGGGTCCTTAAGGTAATGCAGGATGTATATCCTCAACTGTAGGGGCAGCATACCTACAGGGGCTTTATGAGGGTTTGGTAGGCAAAAGTAGCTCGACAGGATAACTCATATATATATATATATATATATATATAGACATATAAATACACACATGCATTTCTACATGAACCTAAGTGTATATATATATATATATATACACACATACATATACATATACATATACATATACATATACATATACATATACATATACATATACATATACATATACATATACATATACATATCCAGATATAGACATATCCAGATATACACATATACATATACATACACATACACACACACACACATATATATATATATATATATGTTATTACAATATATTATATGTAACTTATATAACAGATATATAGTACCCTTGAAGTGCAATCCGCCCCAGGCGGACATGAAGCGCAAGCTGCTGAAGGAGCTCCCTCCCGAGCTGCAAAGGCGTGTTCTGGGCGTCCTGGACCTGAGCCTTGTCCTCAAAACAGCGGCTTCTCTGGGGCATAGGGTTTAGGGTTCAGGGGTTAAGGTTTAGGGATAAGGGTTTGGGTGTAGGGTTTCTCGTCCGCATAACAGCAGTTTTTTGGCTACGAGGATCGCTTTTAACGGGGTTGAGGATCCTTTGTGGTTTAGGGGTTAGGGGTTCAGGGTTTTAGGGGTTTAGCAAAACAGCAGCTTCCCAGAGGGTCCATTATAGATAGTCCTCGTAGTAGAGTCCCTTAAGGGTTCCCAACGCCATTACTAGGATCGTCTTTTGGTGCCTGATTCCAAAATGTTGGTGTATATGGAACAGCAGATTTGGCCAATGGATCGCTTTAAAGGGGTTTAGGGTTCAGGGTTTAGGGGTTTAATTAGGGTTTAGGGGTTTAGGGTTTAGGGTTTAGGGGTTTAATTAGGGTTTAGGGTTTAGGGGTTTAGGGTTTAGGGGTTTAATTAGGGTTTAGGGTTTAGGGTTTAGGGGTTTAGTGTTTAGGGGTTTAGGGTTTAGGGTTTAGGGTTTAGGGGTTTAGGGTTTAGGGTTTAGGGTTCAGCAGCTCCGGGTCGAGCAGTTTTATAGTGGAGTTGTATTTACGGTCTTGATATAACACCCACCCACCCATAGAATCCCATAACATTAAGCAATATAAAGTTCTTTCATCATCATTCAGAGAGTTCTACCTACAACTTAGCTTGTCAAACTAGGCCCTAAACCTTAAAGCCCAAGCCCTAGGCCCTAAACCCTAAAGCCCAAACCCTAGGCCCTAAACCCTAAAGCCCAAACCCTAGAGCCCAAACCCTAAGCCCTAAACCCTAAAGCCCAAACCCTAGGCCCTAAACCCTAGAGCCCAAACCCTAGAGCCCAAACCCTAGGCCCTAAACCCTAAAGCCAAACCCTATGCCCTAAACCTTAAAGCCCAAACCCTAGGCCTTAAACTCTAAAGCCCAAACCCTAGGCCCTAAACCCTAAAGCCCAAACCCTAGAGCCCAAACCCTAGGCCCTAAATCCTAAAGCCCAAACCCTAGGCCCTAAACCCTAGAGCCCAAACCCTAGAGCCCCCAACCCTAGGCCCCCCTAAACCCTAAAGCCCAAACCCTAGGCCCTAAACCCTAGAGCCCAAACCCTAGAGCCCAAACCCTAGGCCTTTTTGCTCGACCCGTTCGCTCAGTTTACTGAAAAAAACAGCGAACGGATGCGGCAACCAGATTCTCAAAAAAAACGCAACGAAAAAGTCGAGCAACCGAGTAGGTTGCCCAATGCGTTCGCGGATATTTGCATTTTTTTTTGATTTTTCGGGTCATTTGCGCAACCCGTTCGCGGTTTTTATCAGTTTTCTTTCGAAAACCGCGAAGGCATTAAAGTTTATATACATAAGATCATAGGGTTTAGGGTTTAGGGTTTAGGGGTTTAGGGTTTAGGGTTCAGGGTTTAGGGTTTGGGGTTTAGGGTTTAGGGTTTAGGGGTTTAATTAGGGTTTAGGGTTTAGGGAGCGTTTAGTCTAGCAAAACAGCCGTTTGGCGAATAGGGTGGCGCCGACTCCCCGGTGACAACGTCAAGCCCCAAACCCCAAACCCCTGAAACCCAAACCCAGAGGCCCCAAGCCGCAAACCCTCCAATGGCCCTTTAATGGAGCCCTAATGGCCCTTAATGGTGGGAATTGGGGGTATATTAGAGGGTAGTTGGGGGGTCTAGGAAGCCGCAAACCCTCAAAAATCAAACCAATGGATCCCTGAACCCGAAACCCGAAACCCTAAACCTCCTTAGCTTAATTGCGGAGTACGAACTCCGCTCTTAGCTGTGGGTGCCATGACTTCCGTGATGTCCGAAGCTTCAGTCGATGTGTTGCGAGAGATGCTGCACGTTTTCACAAGCAGGATCTACTCAAACAATGAAGGGCAGAGGTTCGGATCGAAGTCGTTGGTTCAGCTTGTCGTTGGGCAGAGAACCTCCCTTTTCAGCCAGCTTATGCTGGTGCTGAAGGGCGTTGGTTTTGCTTCTGGTGACACGCCCTTTGGAAATGAAGAAGATCTGCCTAGTGCAGCGTCGCCTCACAACTACATCCGCGGTAGGCGGGTGAACTGGGAGAATCGATTTGGCGCGATGGCCCAAGGGGTTAGAGGAGAAGGTGTTGTCACTGAGTTGAGTTACAGCCCGGTTCATCGAACAGCTGACCACCTTGACACCCACGCGGATCCAATGATCCACTTTTCCGACTCGTTGCTGTGGGGTCGAGACTCACTGACTATAGAACTGAACTACAGTTTCTTAGACAGTGCAAATCCCACTGAAACGTTGCGCAAGCGGTGGCAAGTTCTTGCAGCGATGGCAAGATTTTGTCAATCATAGAGCTGAGCTAGTCCCAGATGCAGTTCGGCCGTGTAACATGGCCCTGTACGCAAAAGGGCAGCTCTATGCTTCATACAAAACGCAGATCGAAAGCTTGATCACTGGGCCTATCAGAGTTCAAGGCCTATACCCCGGGGTAGCGCTGACCCCGACAATTGTCTTGCCGCTGGACGAGTTCCCGGCAGCTCTGAGGCCCGATTTCGATGTTATGCTCAACCGCGTACATCGGGGCGAGGCCTTCGTTTTGATTGCGCCCACTATGTCGGAGAAGAAGATCACGATGATGCGAATAATGACGTCAGGAGCACCTGCGATGCGCACGTCCTGGCGCCAATTCCAGTCTGTTGCTGCGGGCGGCCCCGGTGCGAACCGACAGGGCGGTGTTCCAAACACGGCCATGATGTTTCTCGAGAGTTTGACGATGGAGGTGGGAGCATGTCAGTACTTGTATATCCTGAGCACCACCTATTACCGCCAACTTCTCGGAGCCGGGCCTCATGCACCTCAGCAACCGCCAGCCCTTGGTCCCAACAGTTGGCCAACAGCTGCTGAAGCCCACAGGTTGCTCTGGGAAATCGCGTCTGACAGGATCGAGGAGGAAAGCGCCATGCTTGGGGTACAGCTGGCAATGGCTATGAGCACGCCATTTGCCGAGAGAGGACCCAATGGAGATGGGGCAGTGGCACACCTGACGACAGGTTTCCTCAACATGCGGCGTGTTTTCTTGCCAAGACCCAGGGAGCACAAGCCCCTGGCGAAGCTGTTTTCTAAAGAGAGGTTCACGAACAACGGATGCAGTGCCTTGCTCTCCCTCGACTCATGGCTTTCGGTTGACCCCTCTTGACCCAGTGACGTCGACGGCTTCGACCTTCAATGGGACCTCCTTGGGTATGTCGGGCTTGCCGACGATCGTCGCCTCTGGCTTGGAGGTTCAGCCCTACTATGACCAGGCGGGCGACCTTCATGGTGAGACCTCCGGCCTGGAGTTTACAGCGTTGGATGGTTGCTCTCTGGAGGGCCTTTGCGGACCTGGGGCGAGCTCTTCGGGGGTGTCCTCATTGGGGACCTCGCTTGCAGTCCTTCCCTTTGCATGGTTTCAGTTGCTCTACCTCCCCTGGACGCTATCCGTGGGTGAATATGCTCTACATGCACTACTATGCCCAGCTTTGGATGAGGTGACTATTTCCTGGCACGGAGCTGGACAACATGTGGCAGGGGTGAATGTTTGGACCCTTTTGGCTACGTCTGGCATGGGCAACACAATGACTACCACGACGTCCGTGTTGCACCTGGGGTCTGACTGGGCCTCCTCTCATGGGTGGCACACATCTTGGAGGACTTTAACCTGGACGTCGACTACCACTAGGACACCGCTTGTGGGTGAATTTGGTTTGCATCCACTACTCTGCCCAGCTTTGGACGGGATGACTATTTCCTGGCATGGGGCAGGACAACACGTGGCAGGGGTGAATGTTTGGACCCTTTTGGCTACATTTGGTGGGTGCAGCACAATGACTACCACAACTACCACGTTGCTCATGGGATCTGACTGGGCTTCTGCTCACTGGTGGTACACATCTTGGAGGACTTTGACCTGGACGTCGACTACCACTACGACCAGCTCACAAGGTGTGGATGCTGAACGGGAACTTGCAGCGTCCTTGACACTGGAGAGCCTCATCGTTGAACCCAACGATACGTCCCTCCTCATGCAGCTCAGCACTGGAGCCGGACAGGCAGTGACTGTGCGACCGACAATGCCGAGCAACATTGGCATGCAGGGGGTGGATGATTTCCTTGCCAGTGTCTTGCAACTTACATTGCGGGAAATGCGGTCGAAACTTGGTGTTGGGCATCCTCCAGTAATCAGATGGGCGATCTATGGGCACCTGCGTCTCATCCAGACCCTCATTGTCAGTCTTCAGGCGTACAGAGAAGAGATCTTGCGGGGTGTACCTGTACCGCCAGACGAACCCAGGACCCAACCGCCTCGCTCCTCGGGTGAGTATGCAGCCGTCACTGAATGGGCCGCCCAATTCCAGCAGGACACCTACCAGATCTTGCAGGCTCTGCTTTCTCAACATCAGCAAGACGTCCTACGGGGTGGAGAAGCTCATGCTGCAGTTGACCGAGAAAGGGCGGGCATGGAGGAGCTCATGGCGCTGGGACGTAGATGGCAAGCTCGCCCTCGACATGTGGTTCCAGGGCCTGAGGCGAACCTTGGGCAACGTGTTCCACCTCGAGCAACTGGGCCGCTGTCGGATGCACCTCCTGAACAGCCGAGTTCGTCATCTGGGGCGCGACATGTACGGGGTGGTCCTCTGTTTCGGGGAGACTTGCCACTGGCTTCTCTTGGCAGTCTTCGCCCTCGTGAACCTATGGGCCCGCCACCACCACTGCGCCCGAGGGGGGTGAGAATGTCGCCGAGGGCAATGGAGATGGAGCACTGGCTACGGCAGCGAAGCATGGCCATGGGGTGGCGACCGAATTCACCACCAACTCCACAGGGGGAGGTTGCTCCGTCGACTCCGTGTGCGTTCGGTGGCCATATACCTATACAGCGGTATGATCCACAGGCTCCCACCACGCCTCTCGCCATGTTACCAGAGATGCGTCATGAGACTGGGCCGTCTATGCCAGTGGACTCTGGGGTGGGGCTCATACCGAGTGCACCTGTCTACAACCCGCTGGCACCAACAACACCCATGGAAGCCTTTGGGGAGGTGTCGGCCAGCTACATTGATGACTTCCTGGCGGGGGTGGACGAGGAGATCACATCAACGACCACGACCACCTCCACGACGTTGCAAACTACTGCTTCCACGACTTTGCAGATGCTGGGAGGAAACTGTGACCCAGGGATGGATGCGACGGTTCTCCCTGATTGCGGTGTTGGGATGAGCTTGGATGGGGGCGAGGTCTACCATGGTACGTCCTTCTCTATGTCCCATACACTTCTTGGGGCGTCTATGACCTTGACGAGCACTACGACGTCGACTTCCACAGTGACTTCTGGGACGGGGAGCTCTTCGAACTCAACTGCGGGACGACTTGGCCTACGGGAGCGTGACCATCTGATTGCTCAACGAGTGGCTGAACTTGTCCTACGTGAACTCCTACACGTCCTGCGTCGGCCTCAAACCAGAGTGGTACCGAGACGATGGCCCCGAGCTGCATCCAAACGTGGGGCGCTCCCGCCGCGGCGTATGGGGCGGCCTCTTCCGTCTAGGGCTCCTCAGATGCCTTCTACAGCAGCAACTGGGTCCGGGACACAAGGAGGAGGTTCGGCGACAAGTCCACTGGACCAAGTCACGGAAGGGATGGGTGACTTTGTCGAGATTGAGATCCCGGAAGAGGTTGCGATGCCGGGCTACTTGGTGGACGAGCTGGACGTGACTGAAGGGATGGATGTGGCTGATGAGCTCGATGAACAGCCTGCATCTGATGACATTGAGGGTGTTGCCGATCCTCGAGAATACTCCTCTTGGCGTGAACTATGAGCCTGCAAAGATCCTCATGATCCCTGACTTCTATGTCTTCTTCATGCTGCTGCTCTACTACACGTTCTTGCAGGGGGACATCTACAATTCTTGATACTGCTGAAGTCTTGTTTCACTCTACAAGCCCTTGGAGGGCAGGCTGCTGCAGGAGAAAGGCCGCCATTGTAGGTTAAAAAAAAAAACCTCCGAACCCCAAGAACCAGTACGCCTTAGGTCAGGGTAAAGGTCCCTAACCCGGAAACGCGAAAAGCCCTGTAGATCCCCTATAGATCCCTTTAAGGGGCACTATAGATTCCTTCAAGGGGCCCTTTAAAGGAACTCTTATAGATCCTTTAAGGGAGCCCGAAGCCTGGATTACCTTTGAAGGAACTGCGGCGCCGATCGGGACAGCCTGCGCCTCGCGGCGACGAAGGCCCCTTATGTTCGTTTCTGCGGCTTTTGGGTTTAGGGCTTGGGGCTCAGGGTTTAAGACTTAGTGGTTTAGGGTTTAGGGGTTTAGGTTTCGTGGTTTAGGGTCTGGGGCTTTTGGTTTGAGACTTCGGGTTTGTTTAGGGGTTAGGGCTTAAGATATAGGGTTTAGGATTTGGTGCCGAGGGTTTATAGGAGCGCGCGAGCCTACGTTAAGGGAAATTTAAGGCTTGAAGGGAACATCATGATGATCATTTGGTGGGTCTAGTTTCCGAGATCACTTTTTTGTGACAGCAGAGGCGAGGGAGGGCTGATTCCAGAATTTCGTAAAGGACGAGTCGAAGCAAATGACGTCTCGGTCGCAGGCGCTCGCGGCTCTGGAACTGTAGCGGTAGCAGTCGTTGTGCTGTTCATGGTACCCCACTACAGCCGCAAAAATGCCACGAACCCTTGTGTCGTTACTGCTGCTATTCCTACGACTGCGATTTCGGCTAGCTACTACAACTAGTGTTTCCACAACCGCCAATACATACTTGTGGATTCGAGGCTAAACTGAACAGGGTGACAAGCTTAGACTGTAGCTGTACTTGCCACGTTGTGGCATCGCTTGCCGTGTGAATGAAGAATGGATTCACACTCGCAGTTGGCTCTGTCTTCCGCAGCTGATGAGCCACCCGTAAAGAAACGCGCTGAATTTTATCTGCCTGCAAAGGGTTTCGTGTGGTGCTTGCAGCTGGAAGACAACGCCCGAGAGCGAGCACGGCCGTGTTACGCCGCTTGCCGCACATCGGGAGTTTGTGCTGGGATCAGGGGTCCATAGCAGAAAAACTTAGGGTTCAGGATGTCTTGCATTATGCTTTAGGTTTCATCGCCTTCCGGTTGTATCATGTTGTATCTGTGTCTTTTCCGATTTGTATCCGAGTCTCAGAACAGATTGAGATTTTGCGTTAGGATAGCCAGGCGTGTAGGGTAAGATTAGGTGAAAGGGCGGCTGACCCAGCGCCGCGTAGCGAATGTAGGCTTAGTGGTGTAGATGGTAGGGCGGCTGACCTAGCGCCGCGTGGGCCGAAGGCAGTAGGTGGTGCGTAGCCTTAGTGTGGTGCATGTGGTGCGTTTGTTGCGGTGGTGGTTGTTGTTGGCTGGCTGGCAGGCGGTTGGGGTGTGTTCAGTAGGTTAGGAGTAAGGCTTAGGCCCCGAGCTGTAGTGCCAACGACTATTCCTCATCTTGAACTTACACCCGGAGTCCTGTTCAGTACTACGACTTACTACGATATTCTTTCGATTGATTCTGTGGTCCCTTCAACTTCAACCCATAGTCTAAATCGTCTGAGCCTTCACACAAACGAAATCCAAAAACTTTATGCGGTAGGTGGCAGTGAGTTATAGGGTCATCGAGGCATAAGGGTGCAGGCGGCATGGTTTTTGATTCGTGACCCTGAGCCCAGGAGCAAATATGGGTCTACCACGTGTCTGATGGCTTCAAGCTGCACGGTCGTTTTACCAGGCCTGTTCCAACTTCGCAGGGACCAATTGGTGCAATCGGTGTCGGTGCTGCAGGGAGGAAAGGACAACCCAATCCAGTTGTTTCCCTGCGACATCTGTCGGCGTGCAACGCGGGGGATATCCGGGTTCTGTTCGATTTGAAGCCAGCTATTGACTGCGTGTGCTGTGCCAATGACATGCGCTTGGGGTCCAGAATAACATGGGCAGACTTTCAGCAAATGTTTCCGATTCCGTCGGAGTTTGGGATCTCGCACGTTCGTCATTTCGTTGCTGGCAAAAAACCCCCATGGGATTCCCATGGCTCTGCACAGGAGGCTGGTCGCAGGATTGAGCCCCGAGAGTCAGGGCAATTGGTGCCACTTTCTGGCAGCAGCTCTTCTGCTCGGCAGGTCTTGCATGTGCAACCGGAATCGGGCGTTGAGGGCAATCGGGAGTCCCTCCTTAACCAGATGCTAGATGACATTGAGCAGGCTGCAAAAGCAGGCGACATGGCTCGTCTGCAAAATCGACTGGGGCTTGTCAGAACAGCTGTAGAACTGCCGAAGACAACTACGAGCAGACAGGATCGGGAAAGGAAGAAGAACATTGGTGGGGTTACTTACCGCCCCGACTTCCTACTTCACGCGGTGCGACTTTGTGAGCACTTGAGCCTTGGGCACTTATGTACAACCTAACTCATGGCCCCCCCACACACAGATTAGTTTATTATCGTTGCTACTGCTACTGCTACTGCTACTACTACTACTACTACTACTACTACTACTACTACTACTACTACTACTACTACTACTACTACTACTACTACTACTGCTACTACTATAGTAGCACTACTACCACTACTACTCCTGCTGTTGCTACTGCTGCTTCTGCTGTTACTGCTATTGCCTTATCTACTAGTCTTAAGATTTCGTTGCATCTCTTTTTGTTTTTATCTCAGGAAGACAACCGAGTCTCTTGAGGAAACCTTCAAAGTGCTCACGGCTCAGTTGTGAGTTGCAGTCAGACCTTGTGGATAATATGGGCACAGCGGGCGCAGTGTATTTTAGGACTTGATTTTAAAACACAGGTAAAGTGCCAAAGCGCGGATCCTGCAAGATTTTACGAACCGAAAGTGCCAAGGTCACTGCAGATGGGACTGCAGGGTGCTTTGTCAGAGCACTTGCTGTTGCAGCAGGAGCACCCGGCAAGCAGATTCACCATTCCATCACGATGGGCCCTCCTCCGGGCGAGGACAGAACTGGACATGGCGACGATGGTATTTTGCAAGCGGGAGGTCCTCCACCCACGTCTTTCGTGGTACACCCACCTGCGATGCGACAGCTCCCCACAAGGAGGGCGCGATTATTTCGTTGTGGAAATGGATGTGTGTTCGCAGATGTGCAGCCTCCATCACGAGAACACCCACGTGCTCAACTTGCTCAGCGATGGCGGAAGCATGAATCCGCGGATACTGCCGCTTGCCATCATCGGGTCTAAGGCGGCATCGGCGGTTCACAAAGGGCAGCAGCTCATGAAGGTGTTGGCTATGGAAAGCCACGATCTTCAGTGCACTATCGATCGGACACTGTCCATCCTGTGCGACTTCGGTGCAGAAGCTGGTCTATGGACGTTGCAAGCAGAGGACGGCATGAGTGTTCTGTTCCGACGAGCTCTTCCGATTGCGGACACAGATCATGCGCTCCACCATATCATGTCAGAAGTGGACAACAGCTTTGAAAGCTGGGCAACCTTCCGAGACACCCTTGCTGCCTGTACCAAATGCTTCGGTAGCTACCACCGGCTGGACCGCTTCAGAGAGGTTGCAATCAAGGAAAACGAATCTGTTCCACAGCGATACAGGAGCACCTTCTACAAACTCTTCCGAGAAGTGTGTCCTCGATTTGTGGAGCACCGGTGGGAGTACTTGTATGAGACGTTGCAGTGGTTGCTCCCACGCCGTCAGGCTCTGCAGTACTTGAAGTTGCACGAACTCACTGTGGATCAGGAGCTGTCGGCTAGGGACCTGGAGCTGCTGCAAGGCTTGTGCATGTCCGAAGACAACGATGATCATGCAGCGAGAGTGTCAACGCTTCGTTTCTGGGCAATGGCGAACTTGACAAGCCAGATCGCTCAATGGGGCCACAAAGTCTCAGGCAAGCTCCATGGCTGTCCCTGTCACAAGTCGCAGCGGGGAAAGCGGAAGTACGATGATGAAGGCGGATCGGCTCCAGCGCCCGCTTGCCCGATGGCTGGTCGCATGGCCGTCCCTTTGGCTTGTGGTCTGATGACTGCCCTACAGGATAAACTCAAGAATGAGTTGAAGCCGCCCGCCCAGGCCAGTCTGGAACAGCTCCGCAAAGCTGATGCGGAAGAGGCAGCCAAACTTATGAACGACTTTCAGACCGCACTTGGGCGAGTCCGGGCGCGTTGCGCACAAGTCTTCGCGTACTGGGACGAGTTACCATGGGCGTTGGTCATGGTGATGAGGCCGTTCGTTGAGCAGTTCAGTACAGATGCCGAGGCGGGTCATCTCGAAATGTTGTCTGTAGTAGTAGTTGTTTCGGCACTTGGAACCGTCATCTGAGCTAGCTCTGTGCTCAGCATTCCGTGCAGTCACATAAACATACGTAAAACGTAGCCTCGACCAGCTTTTTCTGTAATGTAAGACCTGCGAAACCTTAGATTGCTTGGGATGATACAGTCTGACGATGAGGTTGCAACTGCTGTGCAGCAATCTCGCTGGCTTGCACGAGCCCTCCTTCAGAAGTACGACAATTCCAACAACAAGAATGCGTTTGGGGCATCCCGCCGGTTGTATTTCTGCCTTTCCTAGTCGAATTCGAAGTGCTCCTTTTTTTGTAGACTACTAAGTACCATAACCCCAATTAGGATCCCTTGTAGGGCACTTAGCAGTCTACTGTTTACCGACTGACTATACTCAAATAGTATATACTTTGGCTTTGAAGCAGTCCCTATATTGGTACTTTATGTGGTGTCATTTTTATACTCTTATGGATACATGGACCCGCAGGGTAACTTGTGAACTGTGCCTTGAGGGTTTTACCATTAATGGGTCGAAAAGGGGGGCTACAGTATAGAGTTGAGGCTTTGAGGGCTTCGGAGTTTAGAGTTAACGGTCTTAGGGTTTCAGGGTACGGGGTTTCAGGGTTTGCTGTGAGGGGGTTGTGTTCTCTCAGCCTGGACCATAGCCCCCAGGCGCCACCTCAACATCGAACCAAGCTCCTTAGGCTTGTCTTGTGAGAAGACTAGCATGCTCCACATACATGTCTGTCTACGCACACACACACACACCATGGGTGTAGAGAGAAAGAGCGAGAGAGAGAGAGACAGATAGAGATAGAGAGATAGAGAGATAGAGAGAGAGAGAGAGAGAGAGAGAGAGACACACACACACACACACAGACACTCCCGCGCCCTCGCCCGCACACGCACATGCACACACTGTCACAGTAGTTTCCGCCCAGGTTGTTGCCTTCAGATTCTTGCACACAGACGGCCCCTACCGAGTGCACTGGGAGGCTTGGTCGACAGGGGGACATCCCATGTTTGCCCCCATGTACAACGAACTGATCGGGTACTCCACTGCTTTGGTTTGCATGCAAAGACTTGAGTCTCGGCACAGCGTGCTGAAACGTATGTTGTCATTTCGCTTGCGGCAGAATCCTTCTACCTTGAGTGCCTCCATTCGGCGGCGCCAGAATCAGGATTTAGAGAAGCCAAAGTTCCAGCAAAATTTAATCGAGTACTTGTCGGGCATCGGAGAGCTGTATCAGGGCCAGTGGTCCTGCAAGACACAATTGCTGGCCCAAGTGGGCAAAGAGAGCGCAATGGCAGAGCATGCTCCTTTGACAGATTTGCGACAGAAGAAGGAGGCCTTTGTTGAGAGTCTTGCTTTGCTTTGTCGGGGCGAGGCGCAAGCGGAGGATCAGCTCGCGATTATGAGGGAACATGTCAAAGTCACTCTGTTTAAAGGCAAGTGCTATGCATTGCGTGGCGTGCTGAAGCCATGCACCTGGACATACTTCCGAATGCTGAGCACCAACCCTTGTGCTATCATGACTTTGCAAAGAGCGTGCCATTTGGCATCAGATGTTTCTCGTCTTCATTCCAGGTCATGTGTAGCAGCAATTGGACAAGTCGGTTCTGCCTGTCTCAGTCTCCGTCTTTCCTTGGCCCAGGCTTGGCAGCAGTGCGTGGCAATCGAGGTCCTGACGGGGTCCGTCGAAGATGAGACCTCCGAGAGTCCGGCAACCAAAGTCGATGTGATAGATCAGTCAGTGATGTCCTTGCCCATGTCCGAAATGTTCAAGCCAGAGTGTGACATGCACCGCCTGCATACCTTTACAGAGGCACAGCTTTATACAAAGTTGTACGTTACATCGTTAACGACATGTTGCTTCAGTGGCCTGCATCCCTGTCACAGGTTGCGTCTCGCTGCTGCTTCTGCAACACCTTTCTCGACGAGATGTTGGGTGACATAGAGGATCAAGGTGCCTTGCCAGATGAAGACACGGTGTCTGCAATCAAAGAAGTGGCATCCGCAGCCATATCTGGAGGCTGCACCGTGCGTGAGGCTAGCAGCAACGATGTTGCCCACGAGGCTGCCATCGAGTGGATGACGCATCAAAGCATCGTGAATCAACATGGTTTTCTGGATGATGCCTTCGTTACTGTTGAAACTCGTTTGGCGAAGCCGATCGCGGTTGATGTCAGTGACTCACGATTCGCCATCTGCAAGTATTTGCTCCAAAAGGGGTGGAAGCCGGCTGAAAGTGCTGGCACAGCATCCCTTGCATCGAAGACTTTCAATTCAGCTGCACCCTTGGAATACTTCCTGCTGATACGGCATTATGATGACTTTTTGCTCAGATATGACGATGCCTTCGGCTTTCGCCACACGCAGCTGAAATCCTTTTACGATGCTTTGTTGGCCAGTTTCAAGAGAGAGAGAGAGCAGAGGATGATGACACTTTGCATATGTGTGGAGAACCTTTTTCTTCGGTTTTACGTTCAGGGACGGGGACAGAGGTCGGTTGCAGGCGAAAAGGTTCGGTTGGTGCTGTATAGGTATCATTGACCCCAGGATTTGGACTATGTTGCCTCCAACCAGAAGGCAGACTTCTACAAATCCTTGTCCGACTTCTTTGCAGGACTGTTTTCTATAGGAATTAAGTTGATATTTACTCGGTCATGAGTCATGTCCCTGTGTTGGTGTCGGGTAGGACGCAGCACTGACGATCCACGTACAGCGGCCGGCTTGCTTCATCCGAAGTCTCGAACCAGAGGCCCCAACAAATCCAGACCCAAGTCCTCCGCGGCTGCTCCAACGCCCGCGCCAGCTCTCATTCAATTGGCAATGCCAGAGCAGATCCCTTCAGCGGTCCCAGCTATAGAAGAGCTTCCCAACCCCGAGCCGGAAGAGCGCATTCGTGTCCTGTGTGAGCAGCTGCCCGCCCTAGCTGCAGCTGTGCCGTCCGAGGGCGATGCACCAGATGCTGACGATGAGCAGGAAGAGATGGGGGAGAATGTGCAGGACGATAGGGGCCAGCATGAGCAGGAAGGGCAAGAGGACTTTGCAGGTCAAAGTGCCAGATACCAGCTTGTGCACAATAACCGCGACTTGTTCTGCGATGTTGAGCAGTTGAGCAGACCGGGTTCGGCTAGGCCAGAATATGCAAGTTCAAATCTGCTAGGGCATGGTATAGAGCCAACTCAATCATCTAAATCTGAGGACAGAAAGCATTGGACGCGCGTGTGGAGCTCGGACGCTCCTACCATCGGACAGATCCTGGGACGCGGCTGGCTCGCATATGCGAGCTTCTGGACATACTTGCCGACATCTTCGCCTCCGGCAATGCAGACACGCCAGAGAAGCAGGTGAACAAGGCGGCTCGTGTAGCACGGGGGTCAGTCAGAGGTGTTTGGGAAGGGATGTTGCTGAACGCATGTCAGGAGAGTCTTGAAAGACAGTCCCCGGGGTTTTGATGGTTCTGCAGTGTCCTATCATGCTTTCGGACAACATGGTGCGAAAATTTGCCCAGGCCCTCGACACCATGGATCGACGTGGCCGCCGATGCCAGAGACTTATACAGTAATAAGAACAACAGATGGTTCAGGGTGTTCAGAATCACGGCAGTTCCGTAAATAAACCTCTCGCGAGGCTGGGGCCAAAATGAGACATGGTCGCGCAGGCGAACACTCTTGGATCTGGTCTTGGTAACGTATTACGAAACCTTCAAGCGCGAGATCTTTGCACCCGGCGGTGTTGACTAACTGGATGTCTTTTGCACCCAGGGTGGTGGCCACGTGTACATCGAAACCAGAGGGTCTAGCCCGTTGAGACACCAACAAGAGTTTCAACGTAGTGGAGAACAGTAGCGGTGGCCTGCCTGCAGGAAAATCAACCCGACCACATCGTCATGTAGCTCGCGTGTTATGCCACACAGTAGTCTTGCGAGTTGGGCTTAGTTTTCCGAAGGCACGACTGTGTGAAGCCCAGCAGGGTTTAGCTCGGGGTCCAGGGTAATGGGTTTAAGCGCTTGGTCTTTGGGGTTTGATGTCGGGTTTTGGGGCTGAGACTTCTTTGGCCTTTTCGGGGGTCTCGCAAGGTGAGTGCACACCTGTAGCCTCGGAGAGATCAGAGCTCCAAAAGGTAATGGAGTTAATAAATGGGGGTTTCGAGTAAACCCTAGAGCTCTAAACCCCAGAACCCTGGAACCCTGAACCCCTAAACCCCAAACCCTATATCTCTAAACCCTAAACCATACTAAACCCTAGACCCTAAGCTTTAAACCCCAGAACCCTAGAGCCCTTAGAAAACCCCGAGAGCCCTCGAACCCAGGAGCCAGGTGAAGCCGAGCAGGGTTTGGAGTTTGGGGTATTGTGTAAAGTAGAGACTTCCGGCAGGACACCAACAAGAGTTTCAACGTAGTGGAGAACAGTAGCGGTGGCCTGCCTGCAGGAAAATCAACCCGACCACATCGTCATGTAGCTCGCGTGTTATGCCACACAGTAGTCTTGCGAGTTGGGCTTAGTTTTCCGAAGGCACGACTGTGTGAAGCCCAGCAGGGTTTAGCTCGGGGTCCAGGGTAATGGGTTTAAGCGCTTGGTCTTTGGGGTTTGATGTCGGGTTTTGGGGCTGAGACTTCTTTGGCCTTTTCGGGGGTCTCGCAAGGTGAGTGCACACCTGTAGCCTCGGAGAGATCAGAGCTCCAAAAGGTAATGGAGTTAATAAATGGGGGTTTCGAGTAAACCCTAGAGCTCTAAACCCCAGAACCCTGGAACCCTGAACCCCTAAACCCCAAACCCTATATCTCTAAACCCTAAACCATACTAAACCCTAGACCCTAAGCTTTAAACCCCAGAACCCTAGAGCCCTTAGAAAACCCCGAGAGCCCTCGAACCCAGGAGCCAGGTGAAGCCGAGCAGGGTTTGGAGTTTGGGGTATTGTGTAAAGTAGAGACTTCCCGCAGTTCTATAGTTCAAGGGTCCCGAGCTGCTTTCGGACTCCAAGGATAATAGCTGTGGGCTAAGTACGCGTCTTCAGGGTTGGGGGTTTGGGGTCGTCGGGCTTATGTTTACATGTTACTCGTTAAGTTAAGGCTGAGGTTTCAGTTTCTTTTCAGTGGTTTCAGCCGCCGTCGGGTTACAGGCTTGTATGCGGGTTCAGTAATTATTTCTTTAAGTATGGAATCTAGTACACAAACCGCAACTTTAAATTTGCTACCTAAGCCCGAACACCCCAAGCTCGAGACACTTCCTGCGCGCATCTCAGTGGGCTCGGGTCTGGTGTTGATGCTTCAGAACTTGAGCTTTTTTGTGTTCATCAAATAGTTTGTACGTGGTTTCGTGGTCTACTATGTAGATAGCTCATTTCGTAAGTCATACTGCACTTGCATCCCCGATCTTTTCCCTTTCTAGGAAGTGTATCCAGGAATGTGCTAGTTCCTTGTGTACATGAGTTGATGCAACCTGAACGAAACATTCCGGTCCGTTTTCGAACGCTTTAGGTTCTCTAGGGCTGCCATGGAGGATGACAGCCTTTGCATATCCTGTGTGGGGTTGAGACGGGCTGCTGACCGTGCCGCTGCTAGTGCAGTAGCCGCCGAAAACGAAAGCAGCGACGAGAGTCAGTTGATATCATCCTTGCATCCCAGGAAGTGTAGGAAAGTCGGTCCCTCGCACACATCTAGTAGCAGTGACGCTGGCTCTTCGCCATCGTTGGAGCCTGTGTTCGTTTCTGGGCGACGGGTGGCTTGGAACGTGTTTGACTTGCGACCGGTCTTCGAATATATGGAACGATTCGTGGATGCTGCTTTGGAAATCAAACAATCGGACCGAAAGCTGAGTTGGAAGGCTTCTAGGCACAACATGAACTTATCGACAATGTTACTTTGCGTAGTGTTCTGAGCCCGATATTACCCAGCCCCGAGCGGAATCTAAGGATGTGCACGTGTTTTCAGAATTTTCTGGCTATCAGACAGCAGAACTTGCAGCACAATCCGTCCTGCATCACGTCGGTGAGTTTGTCGGCAAGAACTACACTTCCGCTGACAAAAGCAAATCCTGCTTGCAGATGATGCTTGAAAACGCAGACGGGAGCACAAAGCTCAGGACTGCATCACACGCTTCTGTTGATCATTCAGCAGCTTACTGTTTGTCCAGTGTGCTCTACTTTCACGTGCGACGCTAGGTTATGCAGACGAGTGTGTGTTCGGTGACATCATGGACATGGTGCCCCCAGAAGTTGCAGAAGCGATGAACGGAGCCCGCCAGTGTATATCGATCACGAGTGGAGATGTCCGTGCAGCTGTAAAAGGCGACATCCGACAGGCAGTCTCACGAGAAGGACGTTTGTTGCTTTCGATTGGTGAAGCCAAACGCGGCTTAGTTCTTCTTGGCTTAACTGACGACTCTTCCGGAACTGCTGCTGAGCGTTTTGAACGAGCTGTTGTTGCGCTGCAGGCCACCAGCACATAATAACCCGCGCATGAAATGCTCTATTTTTTGACTCACAACAGTCCCGACCAGGCACTACGCGACAATGGCTTGGCCACGGCTCGCCTCTCCCTCCATTTCCTTCGAAGGTGGCTGTGAGCATGCGGTTGTAGATTGAAGGTTCCAGGGCATGTGTGTGCGTTTGAAGTTTACGGGCTTGGGGTCTGGGTTTGGGGGTCTGCGTTTCGTCGCTTGGTTTTGCGGTAAGCTATGCAGGGTATACTCTGTTCGGCTTTGCTGTTCAGGGTTTGTTTCATCATGTGAGGGTTCGTGATCCAGCCCCTGCACTTTGCTCGCGCTTTTTACCCTGCTATAGCCTTTACGGCTTTAGGTGTCGGGTCTTGATTTAGGGTTGGGTTTTGCCTCGTCGGTAAGGGTGGGGGCCGTCTTTGAGCAAAACTTGATGGTGGCGAGCTAGGTTTGAGGGTAAACGGTTCACGTCTGGATTAATGGTTTTGTTTGACTTGAGAGACTGGTCACCCCAAAAGCTAACCTCAGCCTACACCGCATCCCCACCCCAACACACCCCCACAAACCCAAACCCCACACTGCACGCCCACCCACCCCCACCCCCACTCCACCAACCCACCCCACACCCTCACTCCCACCCCAACCCCCCACCCCCACCCCCCTTGGGCCTTTTGCGTGGCTTGTCGGCTGGCGGGGCGGTGGTGGCACAAGTGGTGGCGCAAGTGGTGGTGCAAGTGGGTGGTGGCGCAAGTGGTGGCGTGGAAAGGTGTTGGTGCACAAGTTTTGGTGTGCAAGGCGACTTTGTGGGTGCACCGCCCGGTGGTGGCGCAAGTGGTGGCGCAAGTTGGTGGTGGCGCAAGTGGTGGCGCAAGTTGGTGGTGGCGCAAGTTGGTTTTGGTGGCGCATGTTTGGCGCAAGTTGGTGGTGGCGCATGTTTGGCGCAAGTTGCTCTTAAATAAGAGGCGAAACTTGCGCCAAACATGCGCCACCAAAACCCACTTGCGCCAAACATGCGCCACCACCAACTTGCGCCAAACATGCGCCACCACTTGCGCCACCACTTGCGCCACCACCAACTTGCGCCACCACTTGCGCCACCACCGGGCGGTGCACCCACAAAGTCGCCTTGCACCCAAAAACTTGTGCACCAACACCTTTCCACGCCACCACTTGCGCCACCACCCACTTGCGCCACCACTTGTGCCACCAACACTTCCCTGCCGAGTTCGGGGGTTGGGTGTGGCTGGGGCCGGGGTGGGGTCGGGGCTGGGGCAGTGGGTCGCGGCTTTCTTTCTCTTGTTCGTAAGAAGTAGGAACACAAACCGCTTTTGTGTACATCAACTGTACATCTCTAAAGTTCCCTCGTGACCGTGACTTTGTTCCCCGTTGTCCGCGCCCATTTTCGCCAGGCCCCAAACCCGGCTGATGCTCATGATGTTGGCCTGCATCCGAGCCCGTGGCCCACCTGATGCTCATGATGCGCGCGCCTGGGGCCGGCAGACCCGGGCTGATGCCCATGATGCTCGCTTCCGGTGGGGGATTTGTGTTTTTCCCTTTGCGAGCTCAGAAAGGGAAAAACGATTATTGGGTGCCACGGGCTCTCAGGCGAAGACTTTGGCAAGCTTACAGGGCGTGTAAGGCTTTAGGGCTTAGGGGTTTCGGGTATAAGGGGTTTCGGCGCTCACACTCGGACAATCAGGGGTTTAGGGTTTATGGCTTTTGGCGTTGAGGGCTCTGTGTCGGCTGTTTGCTTACTTTCCTAGATTTGTGGAGCCCACTGTAGAGCCATTTCTGGCTGGAGTTTTGGGGAGTTGGGTTGCTTCGTTGTTTGAATATACGCATAACATGTAAAGCCTTCTCCGACTGATTCCCTAGCACCCAAACCGGGTTTTGGGGCTCAGGCTCACAGGAGCATCATGCGCATCAGGTGCTCTCCAACGAAACACCAGTGAGGGCACTTTCGGGGGCCAGTGAGGGCACTTTCGGGGGCCAGTGAGGGCACTTTCGGGGCCAGTGAGGGCACTTTCGGGGGCCAAGGGCACTTTCGGGGGCCAGTGAGGGCACTTTCGGGGGCCAGTGAGGGCACTTTCGGGGGCCAGTGAGGGCACTTTC